TTTTAATGTTAATTTTAACGTATTATATACCTATAGGAAAATAATTTCCTTTTTCTTTCTTTTTTTTGAATAGAAACGTGATATAAAATATTTAAATATTATCATTAATTAAGATTCATTTATATTTAGATTCATTTATATTTAAAAATGATATAATAATCTAAAATTTAAATTTAAAAATAACTTAGAGAGTGTGGAATTTAAATTAAATTTATTTTTTATATTACGAATTTATGAAAATCTAATGATAATTTTCAATAATTAAACGAAAGAATTGTAGCTCAATTTTTTAAAAAAACATTTTAAAAAAGATAGAAAACCAAAGTTAAAAATGACTTTTAATTCTACGTATAAATCTAAAAATTGGAAACTCTAAATTTTATATGGTCAATTCTAAAAGGATTTAGGACTATTTAGAGAGAAGTATTGTCAGAAAAATTTGACGAAGTTTAAAAGTTTTTAGGCTTTGAAATATGTTTTTGAAAGTAACTTCGTTAATTCTTTTTATAGTTATCTGTGTTTTATTGTTACTACACTAATTAGTAGTGGTCTTTTAATTTTGTTCAGAAGCTTTTGCGTTTCGACACAGTAACGTATTGAAATAAAAAGAAAGTAACATATTCATTAACATAAATGAAAAACATACATTTATTTATATGTACGATAAAACCGAGTATATTGTATAAGAATGTTTACAAGTCACTTTACGCGAATGCGACGAACAATACTATTACGGCTATTTGTTGCACGAGTGGACTACCGTTACTGCTTTCGCTGCTATGCAACGAGCTGTAAAAGCCGGCCTCTAAAACCAGAAAAACCCTGAATTGGGTCATTCTTTTTTTTCTGTCACTGGCGGCGAGCAGTAGTGGGGCCACAAGAGGCAGCCGGAAAATCCTTAATCCACCTCGGTCGCTCAGAATCTGGCGTGAACTTGTGCGAAAACAACGTCGAGGGGTGGATTATGATGATCATGAAAACAACGTGCAAGGTGCGTGTTCGTGTTCCACCGAATGGCCGGGTGGTTTCTCGAATGTGTTGCACACCCAAGAGAGAGTCATAACCGCGGCTCTTTTCTACCAGTTCTCCCCCAACTGTGCTCAGATAGACAAATTAGTCCTCTTTCACCCTTACTCGAGCTGAGGATAAGAGGCTTTTGTACAGCGGTTGTACCAGTGGAGCTTATTTCTCCCGCTAAGCTCCTGCGCGGTTCGGTAACAGATCGTCTTATAATGACAATGAAGGCTTTCTGTTACGAATAGAAACACTCATATGTTATTTTCAAAATACATGATCAGTTTACAAGGAATTACATTACTTTTATCGACAGTCGTTTCCAACGTGATGGATAGCGAAATGTGTTTGTTATCCATCACGCAATTGAAATTTTCTCTCTCCTTTAATACGATCAAACTTAACTCTTTCCTTTTAAATTTGAACATAATTCTTTAATACGCAGCCACGATACGCAGGTTAGTTTCTTTGAAACGACACGTACAGCCGAATTCGTGTTGCGGTAAGCTCACTGTCCTATTTGAAAGTTGTCCAGCAGCGTTCAACTTGTTTGGCCCTCTATCGAGGTAAATCTGCCCTCATCCAATGTACGAAGGAACGGACACAATCTCTCGAGTTCGCTGTAGCCGACAACCACGAACTTCGATTTCGATGTACACAAGAGACATCGGGTACGCGTCTCCCTAATGTCGATCCAGGTCAAAGTGTATTTTCTCGGTCGCGCTCTGACGATGGCAAACGAACCGCAGCGGTACGCGCGTCCGGAATTTGCCAAGGCGGACTTTCCCCCTTTTGACTTAATTGGCGGCTTTCTCACACCGGGGACCGTCTTTGACTTTCCTTTCAGCGACCAAGAAGTCCGAAACTCGCCAATGGTCAGCGGCGCGAGACAATGTCGTAAAGACTCACAAAGTAACGAGCTACGGTAATGTTCTGTGCCGGCGAACTATCATTTCAAAGATATTAAAGACACAAGAGTGTGACACAAATGAAATTCTACTAACTTGCTTCAGGCGTTTTATTAGTGTACTTTTAATTTATATGAATTGCTTAGCTTTCTAGCTGAATGTAAATATTGGATTTAAGATATTTACATTAATTCATCTATTTTTGTCAGTTTTATCGTTGATAAAAAAACATTAAGAGTGCTGCGAGGTTTTATTTTCATTTTATAACATGACAAAAATATTATGCTTTTCTACAGCAACGAATAACAATGTCATTATTTATAAAAAAATAACTCGTAGGCATCTGTAGATTTATATGTGCGAATTTTTTTATTTTGATTTTCTAACCTATTTCATTCTCAACCTTGAAATTCACTTGAACGTGAAACGTCAATAAATATCCACCATTTGTTATTCGCCGCGTTAAATCACTTCTTTCGACTTTTTGAATTTGGTAACTAATTTAATTGGCGGCTTCGAGACGACCACGGACCGTCTTTGTAGATTGAAGTGGCCACGGGACCACGACGCTTTCGTGAACTAAGAAGCTCGAAACTTGTTAATGGCATGGGTGTTATGGGACAGTGGCGTAAAGACCGTTGAGATTACGAGGAAACTGTAAGACTTTGTATTTGATGCAAACGGGACCAATTAAGTCGTTAAAGGAATTGTTTTTCTTCTTGAATCAAGTGCCAGCAATATATTATTTAACAGTTAAATTTTTGAATATACACAACGATCTATGCCCTCAAATTTCTAAAGCAATTTTGAAATTTTCAAATTTGATTTCTGGAACGTGATACCTATTGTTAGTTTATGAGCTAGGAAATATCAGGATTTGCTCTAATCAAGCTGCAGAAGTGTAAATGGGTAACTGCACTACTCAATGCTAGATTTACGACTATTATTGGGCTTTGCACATATTCAGTAAATGACAGTGAAATACAATATGGCGGATCGTTCTGCTCAGTAGAGATATAATGCCTCAACGTTGGCGAAGCCATGTTCACTGGTCACTGGCTAGTGGAAACAGTAAATCTAAACGCTTACATAGATACTGTGTTACCATGTACGAGAACCACGTTTATGCCAGCGAGTCGCTATTATTTCGAATATCAACGCGGCATTAAGCCGACGTAAACCGGAGGTAAATACGATCCGCACTCTCCGCAGTCAGCGAATAAAATCATTTGGCTACAGGTGTCATTTCTGACAACTTGCTTACCATTATTCGGTTTTGCATCAAATTTTTCGGTTTTACATCATTTCGGAGTCATTGTGATTTGGGCACGAAGAGTTCTGTAGTACTCTTTAAATAAATGTCAAAGTGTTTTTTTCGATGTAAGTATAAATCTCTTCAGTATAGGTTTATTATTTGCAAACTTTTTGTTCTAATAAGCTGAACAACTCTATGTACTCTCTAAATCTGAATTAGTGAAATTCAATTGAAAAAGAAAAACAGTTTGAGTATCATATAATTAATGCTTTCCATCAAGAGACACAATGTAACATAGTGATCATTTTATCTCTGTTTAACATTAGTAAACAACGAAGATACAATGATGTGTCATCTGTGTTTTTGCTGGAAAGCATTTTATATCCGATACTTACATGTCAATTCTAATACCATATACATTGAACTACACTAAAGGTTAGCTAGGGATTCCCGAAGAGATTCCCTTTTTTTTAGTTGAATTTCCCATTACGAATTCACTGATTGACACCAGTAATATACTTGGGAATCAGTGGCTAATAACTGACGTCAGTCCCAAGTATTCACTGATTCAGATTTAGAGAGTACAAAATAATTTCGTGTAGTAAAATAAAGTGTAATAAAAAATAAATTTTTAAATATTTTAAATTTGATAACTGAAAATGGAATTCTTAATTTTCGTGCGACAATATCAATAATTTTGATTGCTAGCACAGATTATGATTTGCACGCGTGAGGATAACGCGACAAATTTAGTCTGTCTCTCTCTCTCTCTCTCTCTCTCTCTCTCTCTCTCTCTCTCTCTCGACTCGTCATTTTATTCATATCACAACAATCTTACTTTAAACTGCAACACAAAAATTCGACGGATTTAGTTATAGCCTTGTAATTCCTTTGAACGCACGGAGAATATTTGCTTTGAAGTAATCTGCAGCGGAAAAGGGTACGCGCCCCCTGATATGAATAACCTTTTTCATCGGGATAGAAAAGAGTATAGGAGAGAGAGGGAGAGGGGGGGGAGAGAGAGAGAGAGAGAGAGCGTGTGGAAAAGAGAGTTAATTTTACGACGAGAAAAATGCGCGTTTACCAGCTGGTTGCAAGAAAGGGATAGAGCGAGTGCCTGAAGCGAAGCACTGAAATTCGTTTCTTGTCCCTGGTGAGCGGTTTTGTACCTTTGTAATAAAACTGCATTTTTTCCCCATTTCCGCGTATAACACGCGCGCGTCGAAATTAACGTTACGCGGAGATGGGCATTACGCGGAGTTTCCGGTTAATGGACCGTAACGCTTATATCTGGCTGCTCTTGGTAATTTATCGGCGACATGATAAACGCGATAAACGTTGCCCGGCCATCGACACTGACGAATCGGTCGGCGTATATTTTCACAACTTTATGTCGTGTCACATGTTTATGTGAACCTCCTGAAAATTCGGTGATAGACGAAGTATAGAAAAAAGAATATTTATTCTCTCAACGCGAGTATGAAGTCGAATGTAAAATCGAGAATCACGAGGAAGAGAACGATGTCGATTTT